TTTTTTGAGACAGAGTCTCACTCTCTTTGCCTGGGCTAGAGTGCCGTGGCATCAGCCTAGCTCACAGCAACCTCAAACACCTGGGCTCAAGCGATCCTCCTGCCTCAGCCTCCTGGGTAGCTGGGACTATAGGCATATGCCACCGTGCCCACCTAATGTTTTCTATTTTTAGTTGTTTGGCTAATTTCTTTCTATTTATAGTAGAGGCAGGGTCTCACTCTTGCTCAGACTGGTCTCGAACTCCTGAGGTCAAGCAATCCTTCCGCCTTGGCCTCCCAGAGTGCTAGGATTACAGGCCTGAGCCACTGCGCCCAGCCAACAACATAATTTTAAGAACCTTAATCTTGAGAAAGAGAAAGAACTCAATATACTTTTTATTTGAAGGCTTTTTACAATATTTCTAATTTTAAGCTAAGTTTTACGTAAAAGAATGCTCACTTTAGAATTATGCAGAAAAATCCTCAGTAAAGAGTGAAAGCACATTAAAGGGGTAGGTCCTGACAGAGATCTTGTCATGCACAGTAATCTAACAAAGGCATTCATAATATCTAACTCATGTTAAATGTAGCTTATCATATCTCTTCTAAACAATTCTTAATACTATAGATACAGGAAAACAGTATTCCATCTTAAAAAAAAATAAACCAAGGAGTCTTAATAAAGTTCTTAATAGCGTTACTGAAAAAAATCATCTCAGTAAAGAAATGGTGCCAATGATCAATCTACTTAATAATCTAAAACTCTTCAATCACCAATCATTAAAGAGCAGCATTTTAGAAAAAAAAAAAAAAAAGACAGGTTTACAAGTTTTTCAAATGTAAAACAAAGGGAAGTGGAATAAAAACTATCTCCAAAAGTCTTTTCCAATTTTCTTTCCCAAGAAAAAATATGTTTAGTCCTCTTAGTTGGGATTTCATCTCTATTATTTCTCAAATAGGTTCATTTTCATAGCAGCTGAATATTAAAGAGTTAACTGATTAGAAGAAGTCAAAGTGCTGATGAAGGGAAGAGATATTTCTTCCAAAAAATACTCTTATTCATGGAATCCCACTTTAATTTTTAAAGTAACTCACATGAAATAGCCGAACTCTTGTGAGACCATAATCAGAAATTCAGCACTCATAACCCTAAGAGTACAGTTGTAACTAAAGCAAAGGAGGTCATTAAAAAAAACCATAAAT